TACTAAATACTCGAAAATTCGGATTCGATTCGATTCGATTCTTTTTAGAACCGAATTGAATAATTTCCAATCCTACTTTTGAATTCATGTTTATCATTATGAATTAACTTCAAAATAATATATAGCAAACAATGGATAGGGTTACACCATGGTAACTCTAAGTCGTAATATTATATCAGAATTCAACAATTTCAAACGGGCAATTCAATCTCATAAAGAGTCAAACTAGCAAACAAATTTCAAAATTGATATTCTCGATGAAGTTATCATGTTGGGATTCATATTAAGGTAAATATAAAAATATAAGAGAAGTAACTCAAATTTTAATATTAACAACCCTAACGGTTGATTTAGCCTCAAGCACGAGGCTAATCGGATTTTTGAATCATCATCAAGCAAAACTCATAATATTTCGAAAACAAAATTGTCTCATTAAAAACTTATTGAAAACTAATCAAAAACTATCTCTACCAAAAGTAAAGGCAAAACTGACAATGAACTGTAAACTAAACTACCCCTAATCTCTTCATCCATTTACGAAAAGAAATTCCAGCTACACGTAAGGTGATCTTCCAGCATATTTCTTAGGGTCGAGAACACTTCCACCATCGCCATTATCATTAGCGCCACCACTGCCAATTTCTGACGTCGCGAACCACGTCGGAAGCACTTCAGATATAATGGTAATGGAAGGAGATATTGAAAAACAAATAGTAAGAACTTGAGCTTATACATGATTTGATGGGGAGAAGAAGAAGCAGTGATATGCAATTATCTTTGTGAAGGTAGCGAGGAATTGAACCAGCATATTGTATATATAGGCGCCTACACCCCTGGAACTGGGTTTTATTAGGAATTCTAATTTGCATGAAATTGTAGCATCATGTCGACTAGATAATATTAAACAATATTAAAGAATAATTAAATTAGGTTTATTTTAATGTTCAGTTGTATTTATATTCTAATTCTAGTAATGTATATTGTGTATGTATCTATAGATTTTTTATTTTTTTAATTTCCAAAGTAAAATCGACTTCTACTCGACGTGAACATGTTCTTTTTGGATTCCGACAGTGTAAGAAATTAAGATAATATTTGTAACTATAAGTATAATTATTTATTCTTAAGCTAACAAATTTGGTAACATATACTCAAGAGTCAAGAACAATGTTATTGGACCCCATGTAGGGATGGCAAAATTTTTCGCCTCTCAATTACTCATTTATTTATTTATTTTATTTTTATGTTTTCAATTTAAATCGTATTTAAAAAATAAATAAATAACTAAGCAAGATAGTAGATGAAAATATTTTAATCACCGTCCACACCTTGCCTCCTAAAAATTCTAGATGGAGCATG